AGGACCAGATTTAACTTTTTTAGATTTTTCTTCCTGGATTATTGAGCATGCATCAGGATATCAACTTTCTATGTTGTGTGGTTTGAAAATTTATTTATGCTTACATGTTTTTGAATAAAGATTGATAAATGTGCATTGAAGAGATTTAATGAAAATGTTGCAATGGTATTGTGCTTGTGTAACTGTGGCAGAGTCCGAGTCTTTATCATTCTTAAAAATAATGAAATGACATCTCCATCATCTCCATATGTGGCGCTGAAGTGTCTAATCATAGAGGAGGTATCATGATGCTTCATTTCAGTTGAACACACCAAACACTGCTCCTGCAGAAATACACTAATGTAAATTCCCTGATGCATGCTCAATAATCCAGGTAGAAAAATCTAAAAAAGTTAAATCTGGTCCTCTGGACATTCAAAAAAAAGACAAGACAGGCTCTAGAGCAATGTGGATATCCTAACTGGGCCTTCCTGAAAGCAGAGAAGAAACCCAAACAGGACTCCAGTCAGCCAACAGGTGAAAAGGAGGAACCCAGACCCAGACCAGTGGTCATTCCATATGTTGAGGGAGTATCAGAAAGGGAGTTGAAGGGATGTTGAGGGAGTATCAGAGAAACTGAGACGTTTATTTTCTAAACATAACGTCCCAGTGGCTTTTAAACCCCAAAATACATTATGGCAAAGACTGGTTCATCCCAAAGATCCAGTCCCTCGGCACAAACAGAGTAATGTTGTGTATGCTGTTCAGTGTCAGGAGGGCTGTGATCAGTCTTACATCGGGGAAACAAAACAGCCACTGGCCAAAAGGATGGCCCAGCACAGAAGATCAACATCATCAGGCCAGGACTCTGCGGTCTACACTCATCTCCAGGCCAGCGGTCACTCGTTCAGGGATGAAGATGTTCACATCCTAGATAGAGAGGAACGATGGTTTGAGAGAGGAGTAAAGGAGGCCATCTTTGTGAAAAGAAATTGTCCATCATTAAACAGGGGTGGAGGCCTCCGGGTTCAACTGTCCCCCTCTTACAAAACTGTGATTGCTAGTATCACTCAGCCCTCTGTGAATAGTAAACAGCCATCAGTGTGCTAATGATCCATTGTTGGGCTGATGGTCCTTCTTGAGCTAGTATCACTCAGCCCTCTGTGAATAGTAAACAGCCATCAGTGTGCTAATGATCCATTGTTGGGCTGATGGTCCTTCTTGAGCATGTGATCAGCTGGTTTTGGTTGTCAGCAGCAAAACTGGTTGATCCACTCTGAGAAGGTGCTATACTGCTATACTGTATAAGAGACTGAGCTGAATACAGCACCTCACACTGAGGAAGTCTTTCGGATGAAAGACGAAACGTTTCTACATTTTTTTTTTTTTTTTTATGTCCAGAGGACCAGATTTAACTTTTTTAGACTAATGTAAATTAAAAAAAATAATTTGAGCCCATACTGATATATGTTTATTAAAATCACATACATCCTTTTACTGTAATTATATTAAATACATTGGTTAAATGGGTTAGATAATATCTTCACTTATCATGAGCAGAATGAAGTGTTCCCACATGTTAGAACGACCTCTTTTCCTGTCTGGCTCTATAATTACTCTATTTCAACTAACAACAGGAAAAATACCTACTCTCCAACACATTGCAAACATTTTAGAGCTATTTCATAGTGTTGAGCGCTCTCAATTCAAATCTGTCTCAACCTGTCACCTGTCAGAATCGAGACAAAGGGAATCAGCTGTTTGGACCGCAAACCAGTCAAGCGATTCATTCCGACAACGAAACAGTTTGTGTTTCGGACGTCACGTGTCACGTGACTTTTCCCGCACCAAAGCAGGATCCGAAGCAGTGCTCCGATGTAATTTTCCTGCAGGGTTCGAAGCATGTTTTGAAGCTTTTGTTTCATACTACCATCGCTACCTCAGGGTTCTGTTAAAAGCGCAGAGAGCATCATGAAGACCAAGGAACACACCAGGCAGGTCCGAGATACTGTTTTGGAGAAGTTTAAAAATATTTCCCAAGCTTTAAACATCACAAGGAGCACTGTGCAAGCAATCATATTGAAATGGAAGGCCTATCAGACCACTGCAAATCTACCAAGACCTGGCCGTCCCTCTAAACTTTCATCTCAAACAAGGAGAAGACTGATCAGAGTTGCAGCCAAGAGGCCCATGATCACTCTGGATGAACTGCAGAGATCTACAGCTGAGGTGGGAGAGTCTGTCCATAGGGCAACAATCAGTCGTACACTGCACAAATCTGGCCTTTATGGAAGAGTGGCAAGAAGAAAGCCATTTCTCAAAGATATCCATAAAAAGTGTTGTTTAAAGTTTGCCACAAGCCACCTGGGAGACACACCAAACATGTGGAAAAAGGTGCTCTGGTCAGATGAAACCAAAATCGAACTGTTTGGCCACAATGCAAAACGATATGTTTGGCGTAAAAGCAACACAGCTCATCACCCTGAACACACCATCCCCACTGTCAAACACGGTGGTGGCAGCATCATGGTTTGGGCCTGCTTTTCATCAGCAGGGACAGGGAAGATGGTCAGAATTGATGGGTAGATGGATGGGGCCAAATACAGGACCATTCTGAAAGAAAACCTGTTTGAGTCTGCAAGAGACCTGAGACTGGGACGGAGATTTATCTTCCAACAAGACAATGATCCAAAACGTAAAGCCAAATTTACAATGGAATGGTTCACAAATAAACGTATCCAGGTGTTGGAATGGCCATGTCAAAGTCCAGACCTGAATCCAATCGAGAATCTGTGGAAAGAGCTGAAGACTGCTGTTCACAAACGCTCTCCATCCAACCGCACTGAGCTAGAGCTGTTTTGCATGAAGAATGGGCAAGAATTTTATTCTCTCCATGTGCGAAACTGATAGAGACATGCCCCAAGAGACTTGCAGCTGTAATTGCAGCAAAAGGTGGCGCTACAAAGTATTAACGCAAGGGGGCCGAATAATATTGCACGCCCCACTTTTCAGTTTTTTATTTGTTAAAAAAGTTTGACACATCCAATAAATTTCATTCCACTTCACGATTGTGTCCCACTTGTTGTTGATTCTTTACAAAAAATAAAAATTTTATATCTTTATGTTTGAAGCCTGAAATGTGGCAAAAGGTTGAAAAGTTCAAGGGGGCCAAATACTTTTGCAAGGCACTGTATATATATATATATATATATATAGAGAGAGAGAGAGAGAGAGAGAGAGAGAGAGTATGTGGGGTTTACTGTATGGTTGTTGGCAGACAGTTTAAAGGTGCATACTGCCGCCTACTGGACAGGAAGTAGATAAAATATTGAATTGGATTCCATCCCACCAGATTCTTATCAAAAATCCTTAGTGAACTAATTCTATAACAGGCTGTGTATTTCACACCTAATCCTTCAATGGTGGCCTCCCTGAATTTATCAACCTTTTGATAACTGTCATAATGACTCCACAATACAGAAACAATCACTAATATACAGAAAGAATAATCTGGTGCTGCAATACCGACAGGTATCTTCATATAACAAGAATTAGTGTCATTACTAAGGCAAGAAATCAAAATAACAGCAGTCACAATTGTGCCACAAACACATTTACCAAAGCAAACAAAAATATAAAAAATGAGTAAAATGCATTTTACTCATCAAAATTGCATCTGTTTTCAGAATAATATGAATAAATAGACAAAAATATATACAAAAAGTTTATCCCTAACATTTGGCGTCCAAAGAGACCATCTTAGCACCAACATAACTGGTTTGTTCCACTTTGGAGTAAGTTGTTGAGGGAAGAATCAGTTTTGTGTTGTGTGTTTCCTTGACTGATGAAACCTTCCGGATCGAAGGCGAAACGTTTCAGCACAAATAAAGAAACTGTCCAGATGACCTGACTGAAAAATGTTGGATTGTATACCTGGATTATTGAGCATGGACATTGTTGTTTCTATCCATAACAGTTAAAGAGAAGCTCGATACTACTGCTACTCAAGCTTAATAAGACAGAGTACATGTGTGTGAATGAGAGGGAGGCTGGTGGAACAGTGAGGCTACATAGCAAAGGTCACAAAGGTGCAGGACTTCAAGGACTTGGGGTCCACTGTAAAGAGATGAAAAAGAGAGTCCAGGCAGGATGGAGTGGATGGAGAAAAGTTTCAGGAGTGATTTGTAACCAAAGAGTGTCAGCAAAGGTCAAAGGCAAACTTTACAAGACACTGGTGAGACCATCTTCGTTGTATGGTCTGGGAACAGAGACATTGACAAAAAGACAAGACATTGACAAAAAGACAAGAGACAGAACTGGAAGTGGCAGAAATGAAGATGTTGAGTCCTTAGGAGTGACAAGGATGGATAAAATTAGGAATGAGATCATCAGAGGTACAGCACAGGTTGCTGGGAGATAAA